ACTATCCTCTTGGCTCCCATCAGAATCGTATGTATAGAATTCTTCTTTCTCCATGTAATAAGACTCCATTGTTTCTCTATGTCGTGGTCTTGAAAGTTTAAAGAGAACGACACAAGAGATGAATCAAAAGCATATCAACAAATATGGGAGAAAAAAATTTAAGACAAAATTAAATGGAAAATTTCTCTTTTTTTTTTTTTAAATAGCTTTTCTTTTTATGAAAACTTGAAACTTAATAAAACTGAAGCAAATTAAACAAGAACGAAAGCAAGAAAAAAATCATTATTTTGATTTTCGATTTATAGGAAGAAAACAAATAAAAACAGAAAATTGAAAGAGATAAATTTTGCAAAAATAAGAAAATGGCAAAAATGAGTTTTCTTTCTTTTTTTTTGTTGTAAAAATGGAAATAATACAAAAACTAAAAATAAAGAGAAATCAATAAAAACAAATATTTTTGTGGATTTTCTTTTTATGAAACGAAATTAAATAAAACAAATAAATAATTTTTCTTTGGTTTTTGTGTTTATAAAAGAAATCAAATAACAAAAACAATGAAAACAAAACTGAAACAAGTTTTTTATGGGTTTAAAATTTTATGATGAAACAAAAACTGAAATAACAAAAAGCAAAAGATAAGAACAAAAGCACCTTGATAGGAACTTGTGCTCTGATACCAAATGATATAAGACTGGAATCACACCAAGTCTTATAATTCACAAGGTTGTCAAAGACAACAAGCTTTGTTGGCGGAAGGTGGAATAGATGGTAGAGATGGCGCGATGATAGGATGATTGACTCACTCAATCTGTTGATGATAGACTCTCTCTATCAAGTGATCGAACAAACTACTTGAATCACACAAATAGTTTAATCCAAGAATTCTAATGAACAATGTGAATCACACACAATATTCAAAAGAAACAACTCTTGCAAAGAACTCTCTTTGAAGAAAAAACGAAAATGCTTTATTACTTTAAGATTGAATGGTGATTTGTACAAATGATATAATGAGCTTTATATAAAGCTCTTACAACGTTCTATAGTCTAAAAAGAAGAAAAGAAATCTTAGCAATAAGAGAATATAGCCGTTGGAGCTATTATGGCGAGAATCGGCCAAAATAGAGGAAGTGATGTAGCCTTTGTATCTGGACGGTTTGAGGGGATAGGTGAGCTTCTCTGGCACATTAGTTTCTTCATAAAACACGTCCAAGTCGTAGCATTCAAGAGAAAAGAGCCGTTGGTGAGATATTCCTCCAAGTGTGAATGCTTCCGAAAAAGGAAAGTGTACAAATATGAGGATCCGCCTGATCCTGTGGTTTCTGGAGCATGGTAAGACATTTGTAGACTCCTCTACATGTATAAGAAACTCTCCTGGTCGCCAAAATCGGGTTTGTAAGAGATTGAACCGGTCAGTCTTCATTCTTTCCTTAAACGGCTCCGGTTGGCTTAATTGAGAACTCAATTGGATCCGCCTGATCCAATGCATGTTGGTGCACCTTAGGATGTTGTAGAAAGCTTCTAGAAGTAACTCAGAGTCTCCTGGGCGCCACTGATATGTTTGAAGTCTCCAAAACCCGGAAGGTTCCAAATAAGGCAAGCCGGGAATCCTCTGGTTTAGAAATTGAATAACTTTCCAACCAAAACCGGTCTCGGTATGATTCCATTTCTCCTGGATTCTCTGATGAATGAAGAATCCAAAACAAGCGGGTTCATAGCTTGATTCGTCCTTGTTTGGTCGGAATTCTTTGATCAAGGCGCAAATGTCCAAATCGGGTTTATTGGAGATAACCCGGTTTGTAAGCTGAATAACTCTTATGTTTGAACTCTAATTGGACTGATTCCATTTCCCCGCGTGCCTATGCTGGATCCAGATTGCATAGAAAGTGGTTTCATGTATTATATCCTTCTGGTTTGGTTGGAGGGATTCAATAAGTGGTCGTATGTCTCCATCGGATCCTTTGAAGATCTGCCTGAGTGTATCTTCAATATCTTCTTCATGTGGAAGGCTTTTGGGATGATTCTTCTTCGTGGTATGCTCTAGACGTGATGAGTAAATATCCCAAATGTTTGTTGAGCTGGAACGGTCAGTATTGGTCTTCATTTGTGCTGAACAAAGCTCACATGTCTCCTTAGCTCGTCTTGGCTCCATGTTCTCATCTCCTTGTTCCTTGATTCCTTGCTTCAGGTCTGATGATGACTTGATGTCCTCATCATATCCTCCCTCTTCAAGAAGTTTTGTCCTCAAAACTTGTTTACCTGCACATAGATAAGTCAAGTTAGTACCTTGAATTGTTTGAGGGTTCAGAGAAATACCTTCACTCATTGTGCGGGTGTAGCTTGGGCATGGTCGGTGTTGGGCATCTGGTTGTTCTTCTTTGATCAGAAAAGAAGCAATGACACCTCTCCAATTTTTGTTGCCGACTTCTTTGGGCAGCAAGTCGTTCACTTTGGTGAAATCCCCTTTTTCACACGTCATGTGTCCATTGAACCTTTGCAAATTAGAGTTTTGTTGATTCTTTCCTGTACCTTCAATTTCCTTGACACTTTTGACAAAGAACAAGTGTGTTATAGCAGTCATGGTATTACTAGAAACATAGAAACGTGATTCAGGTTGGATCATTTCATTAACTTTATGTGAAACCACAAGTGGCTCATAGTTTTGTGGTTCAATATAAGAAACGGTTTCTTTAATATTCTCACAGTTTTCTGGCTTTAGCAGATTCTTTAGCACAGACTTCAAATCATCAGAAATAAATGAGGGAAACGTGCTACTTACCAGATCAGAAGTCTCGGTATGTTCTATTTCTTTTGTTGACACGATATTTGGATTCAATGTAGGATCTGGTGGCTCCTCTTGGATGGGAGTGAAGCTAGTGACAACTTCATCTTTCTCAGGGTCAGTCTGATATAATTTAACCTCGTGTTGCTCCTGTAATGGTCAGTATTGGATGGGAGTGAAGCTAGTGACAACTTCATCTTTCTCAGGGTCAGTCTGATATAATTTAACCTCGTGTTGCTCCTGTAATGCTGGATCCAGATGGCATAGAAAGTGGTTTCATGTATTATATCCTTCTGGTTTGGTTGGAGGGATTCAATAAGTGGTCGTATGTCTCCATCGGATCCTTTGAAGATCTGCCTGAGTGTATCTTCAATATCTTCTTCATGTGGAAGGCTTTTGGGATGATTCTTCTTCGTGGTATGCTCTAGACGTGATGAGTAAATATCCCAAATGTTTGTTGAGCTGGAACGGTCAGTATTGGTCTTCATTTGTGCTGAACAAAGCTCACATGTCTCCTTAGTTCGTCTTGGCTCCATGTTCTCATCTCCTTGTTCCTTGATTCCTTGCTTCAGGTCTGATGATGACTTGATGTCCTCATCATTACCCAGCATAATATGCGGGTTAATTCCTAGTAATAATTTAAAAACTGAAACAAATCCAAAGAGACTAGGCTAACCATAAATCATAACTAATTTACCTTTTACTACCTTCTACTTTATCTCTAGATTCTGTTACTATGTCACTAGGTTCCAAACGCATTTTCAAAACAAATTTCTTATCCTCGTAACATTATCTTTTATGTGTTTTCGTGATTTGTCTGCGGTTGTCTAGTTAAAAACCTTCATAAGAAAACTCCAATTAAAACTTAAGTAAAAATATTACAATTGCACAAACTTTTCTCAAATGACCATAACAACATTTTATTGGTCTCGATCCAAGATTAAGACCTGTTTCGAACATCAAGGCAATGAGAGATTGTCAAACGCAAATATAATTGAATTCTTGTATATATGATAAGAGCCTTCCATCCTATTGCTCTTATATTTAGCCACTGTTCGTTTTTGCATCTAGACGCTGCATCTAGATGTAAATGTTCAAATGTTGTTCGTTTGGACACTTTAGAACTAATATCTGGATATTGAATCTGAATGCAAATGCTCAAATATAGATATTTGAGATAATGAAAAATGTAGTCTAGATGTATATTTAGCATCTCAAAACCAAAAGACTAAAATATCATTCATTATAATATATTCATAATTATCCTTAAAAAATTATTTTTTAGTTAAAAAATAATTTCTTATCAAAACAAAAAAATTGCTCTAAAACCGCAAAATCTTATTTTTTTCAAAATCTTGATTTCCTGCAAAAGTCGCAAAATCACGTTTTCCGCTAAAAATGCAAAATCTCAATTTTTACTAAAAACTCAAAATCTCGATTTTCCGTTAAAACGCAAAATTTCGATTTTCCACAAACATCACAAAATCTCAATTTCTCGCTAAAACACAAATCTCGATTTTCCGTAAAAAAACAAAAAAAAAACTTGATTTCCCGCAAAAATGTTAATTCTCGGTTTATCGCCAAAAACAAAACTTTCGATTTTTCGCTAAAAACAAAAAATCTTGGTTTCTCGCCAAAAACGGAAAATCTCGATTTTTCGCCAAAACGAAAAAATCTCGGTTTTTCGCCAAAAACGCAAAATCTTGATTTCCCTAAAAAAATACAAAATCTTGATTTCTCGCAAAAACAAAAAAAATCTCGGTTTTTCGCCAAAACGCAAAATCTCGATTTCGCGCCAAAAACGCAAAATCTAGATTTCTCACCAAAAACACAAAATTTTCCCCAATAACAAAAATCTTGGTTTCCCGCGAAAATATAAAATTTTGTTTTCCGCCAAAAACAAAAAATCTTGATTTCCCACTAAAAAAGAAAAATCTCGATTTTCTGCCAAAAATTCAAAAACTCGATTTTCTGTCAAAAACGCAATATCTTGTTTCTATCAAAAATTCAAATTTCAGTAAAAAAGTTTCCCGACAAATATGCAAAAACATGTTTTGCTGCAAAAAATGCAAAATTATTTTTTTCATGTATTTTTAAAACTTAATTTGATAAAAATATTACTTATTAAAAAATAATAATTCAAAAGTATGTCCTTTTTAATTATTTGATATATTTTGCATCCAACTATTTTTTCACAAACGAACAATTATTTTTTCACAAACGAACAATTTTATATCTAAACATAGCATCTTGATACAAAACCTAGTTTCCAAAATGATGCAGCATCTAGATCAGAGCTGATCTAGATACAAATATCTAGATGCAGCATCTAGATAAAAAAACGAACAGGCCTTAGTAAAATGATCGTTTCTCTGGGTACCCACTATTTCCAGATCGAATACAGGCTAGCTTAAATATATATTGGAAGGAAATACTTAAAGAAAAGCTAATATCGAGACAATTGTTGTTGGGCTTGTTACGTCTGTTCCACGCTCTCTTGAGACCCCCCAACATGTACATTTTGAAATCCTCGCTAGAAAAACCATCAAAGCAAAACCATAAATACCCTAAAATAGATTCTGAGGTTCACTCTGGTTTCTCTTTTTACCCTAAAATCCTAAAATACAGGTTAGATTGTATCTTTTTGTTTACGTGATGACCTCTAATAAGACCACCACATTTTGCTTTGATGGTTTAATCTGCAGTTTCCGCAACCGACTTTCCTTTCGTATCTACAGTTGCCGAATTTTGGAGTAGCCGAAGTTGGTTTTGTAACACCTACCCAGAAAAGCAATATGATAGAAACTCTTGGGACGTTAACGAAAAAGGGTTATTTTTGTTCAAAATATCAACGTACCTCGATTTCGGACTCAAGAAATCTCTTCTGAGCTTCTAGCTCTGTCTGTGGAAGCAATGAATAACCTTGAGACCTTCATATGTTCAGTCTTAGTGTTAGTTCTTTCTCTACCATCATATACTGGATGATGACAGAAGTTACAGAAAAGAAAAATCTTACACAAGCTAAGTCCCGAGCTAACATGATATATTCAAGACAACATATGGAAATATCCGGGTGAATTAAAAGAGATCGTAAAACTGGCACGTATAGCTAAAACTAGGAGACTCTAAAGAAACTAACTAAAATCGTGTTGAATCTTTTGGTGATGCAGACTATGTACTATTTTTTCACACATACCATACTAGTGGGTTTGCAGATGATGGATAAACAACGGATCTCCCATATATGGACGCTGCAGAAGCAGCAGCTCGAAACCTAGCCTCGTGCCTGCTCATATTCTCACTAGCAGCAGCAGCTTCAGAAAAACCCTGCCCATCTGAACTTGAAGTACCTGTTCCTAATCAAACCGTAGAGCATCATTTGTCTCAATGATCTCAAAATTGAAAAGATTCACCTTCTGAACATGTTAAGTACAGATGTCATTTTCCATACCAAAACCTCAGGAAACAAATAAAACTGAGAGAGTCCAAATTAATACAATTCATTATGAAATATGTATAAATAGCAAGATCAGTACCCTGCTGCAGGGATTCTTGGTGTGGTCCACGGTTTCCAGAAGCTGACGATGTAGCATTCTCAGCTGGTACAACCAGCGCTCTGCAAGTGGGACATGTGTTCTGTCGTTCCAACCATGACCGAAGACATTGCACATGAAAGAGATGGCCACATATTAATTTCTTCGCTGAGGTCATTTCTTCACGGCATATGATACAGGTCGGGTCAATTCTGCAAATCCCACATAAAGATTAACAATGATATATAACCATAACGAAGTCAAGAATAAGCATGTCATCAAAAGAAAAAAAAAAAGTTAAGAAAAAGTAGTTTCAAATGGCTTGTAAGATATTTAGAATAGTTGAAAACATAAAAATCTTTAGGGAATTTCTCGAACTTACGCGCTAAGTTCATCGGGAGTTGCATCAGGAAACCGATCATTCATATTAGAAGTGAGTTTACGATACCGGAGGTAATCAGTCACACGAATCTTGAAGTTTCTGAATGTTTCGTAGAGCTCCCGTATTAGATGAAGGGGAAGGCCATAGTTCCTATGCAACAAAGGTGATGCTCGAATTAGGATATCATACCAAAAATGTCATCAAAGCCATCACGTCTATGGATTGAGTACACAGAATACACAGAATAATTGCGTAAAGATTGACAAAAATTCTCAGGTCTATGGATTGAGTAGAACTATTGTTTTGGCTTTCTGGCTGCTTATTGTTTCTTATTTATGGTTCTCATCGTCTACTAGTAAAAACATATGAAGAACTAATGTCATCAAGAGAAGACGTATAGAAGTGCATAAATGTAAAGATATAGTTGTGAAAGTATCCAGCTCAAAATAACTGTAGAGAGATAAGGCGATTATGAGTGGTGATATAATAACTTCAGCATGTTAATTAGTCAGGATTCAATTGCCTTATAACATCTAATTTTTGGAGCAAAGAAAGACGGGAATGGACTAAAAACTTACATGAATATCATAAGGAAGAAGCAAAGATACATGGAAAGGTGAAGCAAGTCACGGACAAGCTCCAGATAGAAAGTGTATACTGGTTTTCCTTCCCATCGACCTTCCTTGAGCATATCAGTGACATAAAAGGTATACTTCACAATCAAAGAGATAGTTGTTGTTGCCAGAATCATATACCTGAAACATAAAATTATCAATTAGGCTGTACGATGCAAAGTTCACTAAGACTTAGTTGTACGAACAAAGTCCTAAACAGGCGGGGACTATCACATGGTTTCCAATGGCATATTCACAGATGGATACATAGCTAAACTTCATTAAATATCAACAAAGGTAATATTATGAAAAAAATATCCGCCACACACAGTTCTACTTGTTACTTGTATGAAGCATATTTGAAACATAGCAGCTATTCATATATAGGTCTACAATGAAATCTAAACCAATAGGTAAGTTATCCTCGGCAAAAAAATTCTTGGCAGATAAAATTTAATAAAGACCCTTCTCATATGCAACTCAGCAATGTCAAATTCACAAGTTTTGGCAGACGCAAAAAAAACTTTCAAACATTTTCAAAACTCAGCTCCAATTGTTTGCAATCAAAAGAGCCTAACGCTCCACTTTACAGGATTCCTAGCCTGTCTTAATAACATCAACCCCCAACAAAACTAGTTGATTCCATGAAATTCAAAGAAACTTACTCAAACGTGAAGAACACCGACATTGAAGCTTTCCGTGACTGAATCAATTGCCGTATAGAACTATACGTAAGGAGGCCATCCAAGACGAGAAGGAACACCATGAATGAAACAATACGAACATGAGAGAGTAAAGTCACAGAAGGAGTAGTCTCTATATACTCTAATCTCTTCTGACCCATCCAATGCAAACCCTTGATCAACAAAAGAGTCACAACCAAAGAGAGAAACCCAACAGAGAAGTCCTGTCGAAATATAGTGACGGCAAAGAGAATCTCCATGATTTCTCTCCACGCTTGCTCATTCAAACGTTCCACCTCAGCTTCTCTAAGAGAACCAAGAAACACAAGTTTCACCAGATTCCATAAGCTAAACATTAGAACCAAACCCATGTTGAGTAGAAGCACCAAACTGATCTTCGACGTCGATAGATACACAGTCGCAGGGTAAAATTGACCACGGCTGCTAAAAGCATGGTAAATCACAGCTAATGTTGCGAGGGAACTAAGGCCCGCGTAAACACTAAGCCGAATCATTTTCCTTAAGCTGCTTCACAATACAGGGGAAACAAAAAAAAATTCAGATTTTAAAATCGCATTCGAAGATTTAAAATAGGAGAATCTGATTGTGCATGCAACTACAAAACCCGAATCCAAGAAATTCCAGTATTTAGTTCTCATCGTTAAAAAAATTGAGAGCTCGATCAAAGACAAAGATTAGGGAAGGAAAAACATACAGGAAGAGAATCAGAAGCGATCAGGGAGAGGTTGATATCGGAGTCGTCTAAGCGTCAAAGAAGACTCAAGTCTTAAGCTCTCATTAGGAAATGAGAAATCACGAGCCAAGAGGACGAAGAAGCGCTTGCTTTAGGAGAAAGAAGAGAGAGACAAATGACATGCTTTCCCCTTTAACTCTCTCTGAAACTCATCTGCGTAGGCTAAACCATTCTGATTATGACACGTGTTTGTAGGTGTTGTTGTACATGGGCCTGAGAAATTTGGAATCTTAGAGCATATTATCGCGGTTTCGTCCCGCGTTTCTTATGCAACTAAAAAAAAAAATCAAAAACACAGAAATAAATGAAAATTGGTTTCTTATCTGGGGCCGATTAAAACCGTTTCTTCTTGAAACGTGGCACGGTTTCATTAGATTAAAAAAAAGAGAGAAATGAAGTTCTTTCTTTCTCATTTCAGTCTTCGATGAAACCCATCCTCCTTCGACAATTCTTCTCCTCCGACGAAGAAAAAGGCTCCTCCTCCGAAGAAGAAAAAAGGCTCCAGCAAAGCTCCTCTCCGTCACATGCATGGATTCTCCGATTCGTCTTCCTGGAGTCAAAGGTCGGTGGAGACATCGGTGAATCGGTGGAGACGTCGGTGAATCGGTGGAGACGTCGGTGAATCCTCTCCTCCTTCGATGATTCCTCTCCAACCGATCTATGTTTCCGCCGGTTGCATGTGTCATTCGGGCTCATCATGGCGATGTCTCTCCAATTATATTCGGCTCCTCTCCTTGCTCCCTGAAGGCGACGGTGGATTCATCAACGAAGGTAAACTAAGTCTAAACTTGGTTTTTTTAATTGATTGCATTTGATAGTTCTATGTGTTTGATTATATTAATCAAAGAATATGATGGGTTAATAATTGTTGATCGATGTGTGTACATGAGTTTAGTTGATATTGGTGTTTGTTTGGCTTTAGATGATCGATGTGTGTAGATGTGTTGATCGATGTGTGTAGATGATTTTGGTTAAAGATCGATATGTGTAGATGTGTTTGTTGATATTGGTTGATGTGTGTAGATGATTTTGTTTCCTGAATTTGGTTAAAGATCCTCATGTATAGATGTATTTGTACATTGATTAATCAGTATATATGTGTGTGTTGATATTAGTTTGTTTGTTAGTTTGGTACTTGTTAGTTTGATCATTTGGGGTTATCTAAAAGTGGATGAATCCTTTGTAACTTGTTTCTTTTATGTCTTTGGTCTTTGTTTACATGAGCTGGTGCTCGGCGGATTGCAATGGAAACAGCTTGCTTGGTCGTCGACATGAGTTGGAGTCAAGGCTGAGACTTAGTTAAGGTCAGTGTTCAACTCAGTTTGGTTAGCTCATAAATGTATAGTTAGTAATAGATAATGGTTTGGTTAGATATTAAATGAAATGTTGATGAATGCTTTGTTAGGGGTTAGATATATGTCTAATCTAGGTGGTTAGTTTGTGTATTCAATGTTCATTCTTGAATGAATGAACTCTTTTTGACAGTAAATAAGGCAGATGCTTCTCATCTGCTTTTGCTTCTTTCTACTTCTCCTCTGAACTTCTTCTTCGTGTGTCCTTCTCCTTGTCAACTTCTCAGCTTCTTCTTACATTTGTTTTCTTGTCCTGCTTTCACTTCTATCACTTTAACCCTTCACCGTGTACTACTATTACTTCTTCTTCTTCTCATCTGAACTTCATCTCATCTGCTTCTTCTTTTCTTATTTTACTCTTTCATTCCATTCCTTCCAGGCGATATGGATTTCAATTCAACAAACCCTTACTCACAGACACCCAACTTCATTGACCTCCTTAACAGCCAACAAGATGGTGCATTTTGCGGTTTAGCCTCCAGCCTCGGTGAAGAGCCTGCATTTGCTTCTAGTCCAGGTGATGCTTCCCCTGCACAACGAAAATAAAGGAGAACCTGGACTCCAGCGGATGACATCCTTCTTATCAGCTCTTGGTTGAACACTTCAAAAGACCCCATTGTTGGAAATGAACAAAGGTCTGTGGCTTTCTGGAAAAGAATTGCTGCTTATTTTGGAAGCTATTCAAATGGTGATAAATGGGAAGCTGCTTCTGCGATCCAGTGTAAACAGAGATGGCAGAAGATTAATGACTTGGTCTCCAAGTTTTGTGGTGCTTATGAGTCGACAACTAGAGAGAGAGCATCTGGGATGAATGAGAATGATATTCTGAAAAATGGCACATGAAATATTCTTCACTCTGTACAAGAAGAAATTCACCTTGGAACATGCATGGAAAGAGCTCAAGAATGACCAGAAATGGTGTGATCTATCAAATAGTAAGAAGGTTGGAAGCTCAAAAAGAAAAAAGGTTGATGGTGGTGAGCAATCTGCAGAAGAAAACAATGGAAACAGCAGACCTATAGGAGTCAAGGCTTCAAAAGCAAAGGGAAAGAAGAGCATTGAAGTGATGAAGGTTCCAATGGCTGAGTTCCAAACAATGTGGGAAATAAAGGAGAAGGACAATGCTCATAAAGAAAAGATGACTAAGCTGGCACTACTTCAATGTCTCCTTGGGAAAAAAGAAACCCTTACTGATTATGAAGAAGATATGAAGAAGAAGCTGATAAGCGAACTGATTTGAACCTCTGTTTGATGTGAACTTGTTGTTATTTTAACTTAGTATTTGTATTTCTGTTTAAGCATGATCGGTTATGTCTTTTGTGTTGATCGTTGTGAACTTGTTCATTGTGTTTTCGTGGTGGCTTTTGTTGTGAACTTCTTGTTGTTTAAGTTAGTATTTGTTGTAAGATCTTTTAACATGATCGGTTAACTTGCAAATCAAGTGTTTTTTTTGTTCTTGTAACAAGTTTAAGCTTAAGCATGGTCGGTTATGTCTTTGGTGTTTGGTTACAAGTTTATGTATTTGCAAGTTGTGTTTTTTTAAAAAAAATTTGAAAGAAACTTGTTATTGTTGTTATATTTTTTATAATGCTCGGTTGTGGTTGTGATTCATTTACGTGTTTATGTTGTCTTTTAGTTTCAGGTCGGCACATAATTACAATGGTGGTGGGCACAAGAACACAAATAATAGTCACAAGCAATTTGTCATGTTGTTCGTGTCTTTTTAAAACTGTATTTTGTGTCATTTGACACCACATGTTGGATTCTATGTTCAGCACCACTAGTTGTATGAATTATTATCATGAGTTGTCTATATATTGGCAATAAACTTTTTGAGAAACATACATCTCTCATTCTTCTTCGTTTCTCATCGTTTCTCATTCTCATATATCATTCTTCTTCTTCTATCTCTATTGTTATTATGGCTTCATCATCCAATAACAACAATGATGGATCATTTGATGATTCTTTTAATCAATATTTCCATGATTCGTTTAATCAAACTTTCCAAAATCTCTTTGTTCAAACTTACGAAAATCTGTGCACTCAGTATGAAGATAATCAAGAGGCACCCAGATCAAGAAAAAAACGAGCTTATATCGCGAGAGAGCGCGAAGAAGGTCATAATCGATTATGGAACGATTATTTTAGCGAAAATGCTACATATCCCGCAAATTATTTCTGACGCTGTTTTAGGATGAACAAGCCTCTGTTCATGCATTTTTGTGTGGAAACTTTCCAATGAAGTCCCATACTTTTTCCAGAAAAAAGATGCTCTCGGAAGGTCTAGTCTTTCTGCACTTCAAAAGTGTACAGCAGCCATACGTCTTTTGGCATACGACACTGCAGCTCACACGGTTGACGAATATCTCCGACTTGGTGAGACTACTAGTCGTAAATGTCTGGAACATTTTGTTGATGGAATAATAAACACTTTCGGTGATGAGTACTTAAGAAGACCCACACCAGAAGATCTTCAACGTTTACTTAATTTTGGAGAGCAGCGCGGATTTCCCGGAATGATAGGAAGCATCAACTGTATGCATTGGGAGTGGAAGAATTGCCCTACCGCCTGGAAAGGGCAATATTCACGAGGATCGGGAAAACCCACAATCGTTTTAGAGGCGGTTGCATCATATGATCTGTGGATATGGCAAGCATTTTTCGGACCCTCAGGTACCTTAAACGACATAAATGTGCTTGATCGCTCACCTGTTTTTGATGATATCATACAAGGTCGAGCTCCGGAAGTAAATTTCTCGGTCAACGGAACGGAGTATAATTTGACATACTATCTAACAGATGGGATCTATCCAAAATGGGCAGCATTTGTCCAATCAATTCCACTTCCACAAGGAGCAAAAGCACATGCTTTTGCTTGACGTCAAGAATCTGTCCGAAAAGATGTGGAACGTGCTTTCGGGGTCTTGCAAGCTCGATTTTTTATTGTTAAAAATCCAGCTCTTTTTTGGGATAAGGCTAAGATTGGAAAAATTATGAGAGCTTGTATCATATTACACAATATGATAGTAGAAGACGAAAGAGACAGGTACAATCTACTTGATGTTTCAGATTTCGAACAAGGAGAAGGAAGCGGAGGTGGCAATGTCGATAATACGTTTCAAACGAATATGCCCTCAAGCGTTACTAATATGATGGCTGCTCGAAAGAGTACGGGATAGTCAAATTCATCATCAACTGAAATTCGATTTGGTTGAGCATATATGGCAACATTTTGGAGGAAATTAGCCAAATAATTGAGTTTTTATTCCTATGTTTTATTTAATAATCAAATTTCTGTATTAAGTGTTAATGTTATGAATGTTGTAATCAAATAATTATATTTGTTTGAAATAAAACATATTTCTTTAAACAAATTTTTATTTAAGAAACCCAATGGGGTATTAGCAATGCACAATTAAAACCATTAAGTTTCTTAAGAAGTTTCTTAATCTATGTTTAGTAATAAAAAATTATTAAGAAACCCATTTGGGGTATTAGGGATAATGATGCTCTTAGAATGGGTTGGGTCGCTTCGGTTTGAAAATTGAATAACTCGTTTATGGAAAATCGAAGGGATTTTATTTAAAACGAAAAAAATAACTTTTCTAGTATGTAAAAGTTTTTTTTACATTGATACATAAAATTGTAGAAATAACTACATCAAAAAATATTGTTTGAGTTTAGAATTAAAAAATAAGCACTTTGTGCTATTAAGGGCACTTTATAAAAAATTTAAATTTCGAAAAAATAACTTTTCAAGTACCTAACTTTTTTTTTACATTGATACATAAAATTATAGAAATAATTACATCAAAAGATATTTTTTGAGTTTAGAATTACAAAATAAGCACTTTAAATATTTTTATTCTATTATTTTTATAAAAGTTTAAATACTTTTATAAAAGTTTAAATCTCTTTTGCCCTTTATTCTATTATTTAATATTTTTAAACTCCAAAATTGAATATATAGATAGTTAAAAATATTACTGATTAAATTATTTATTATTTATTGTACCATTCCGTCATAAAAACATCGTAAAATTTCCAATGATTTTACGATGGCATACATCAATTTGTATACCATCATAATCGTTGTATAATCGACATAACTTTTGACGTATTTTCGTCATATATATATATATATTACAACTCTTCGCAGTTTAGCAGGATGTACGTATGTGCACTGTGATAATCTTTTTTATTAGACCATCATACTTCCTTTACTTTTCCACTAAAACGTCCGATCGGCGAGAATATGTCAGGTACACCCTCAACTACATATGTTTGGCCAACTCCTCCATCATCATATCAACAGGTAGCTCTTTTGCGTATTCGTACTTTAGGTGCAAAATAGTACGAAGTAAAGTGCGAAGTCTCTTCAGTTAAGCTGCCCGCCACAATTAAACATTCCACTCTAGCTAGGTTTTTGGCTTTACCTTTAAGATGCTTCATGAAACGCTCAAACGGATACATCCACCTGTACTGAACCGGTCCACCTAGCTCTGCTTCGTGAGGGAGATGAACAGGAAGGTGTTCCATAACATCAAAAAATGATGGCGGAAGATCTTTTCTAAATTGTACAACAAGATTGGGATATTCTTTTCCAGTTGTGCTATTACATCATCTGATAATGTTCGGGTACTAAGATCCCGGCAAAAAGCACCAATGCATGCATATGTATATATATATAATATTAAAATTTTAAAATGTACATATTATTATAAGAATATAGTGCAGTTAATTAAGTAGTAATAATTTACCTCCAACAGCTTCATGGACATTTTTGGGCAAGAGTTCAGCAAATGCAAATGGGAGTAATCATTGCCTAAAAACGTGGTAGTTATGACTTGTCATCCCTGAAAACTTTACCCCCTTCTCAACAGATTTCGAAAGATTAGAAACATACCCATCAGGAAACTTAACGTCAGATAAAACCAATTTGAACAATGTTGACTTCTATTTTGCACTCAACCGAAATACAGGAACCAGTGCTTTCCCGTTTCTCAGTATATGCAACTCACTTCTGTTGCATAAATCAGGCAAGTCCAATCTTGACTTGCCATTGTCTTTTGTTCTTCCAGACACGTTCATAACTGTATGCATGATGTTATAATGTGCATGACATCAAGATTGTGTCTGACCAGATGATCTTTCCAATACGGAAGTTACCAAAAAAATACTTTTCTTGTGCCAATTATGATGAACTCCATAACCTTCAGGCATATTTGGTGGAGTGTGTCAGTTTCCCCTACGAGTTACGGTTTCCTTTGCCCCCTAATGCTGGATTTGCGCTTCAATATCAGCTCTTGTTAAATATATGGGTGGAGGGACACATACACTTTTGTTCTTCCTAAATAATTCCTCTGATATGGATGGTTATCCGGTAAAAACATGCGGTGACAATCAAGCCAGCTGGTTTTTCTACCATGTTTTAGCTGAAACGCATCAGTTCGATCAAGAATATGAACAAGATAACCTCCATGTGTAGTCCATCCTGATAGCATACCATATGCGGGGAAAACGCTTATTATCTACATAAGCACAGTCCGCATAGTAAAATTTCTCCCCCTCGAACAGTCATATGTTCGAACACCGGTATACCACAACTGATTCCACTCATGTATGAGTGGCTGCAGAAACACATCAAGAGATCGCTTCGGATGATTGGGATCTGTGACCAAAATATTCAAAAAAGTAATTTCCTTTGCATGCACATATCTGGGAGAAGGTTATAAGGGGTCAGGATTACAAGCCATAATGAATATTGTCTACCAGACATACCGAATGGACTAAAACATCAGTGCACAGACCAAGATAAACATTCCGTTTGAACTTAGCAAAATCTAGGTATACCGTATTGAATCGTTTCCACGCTTTTGCATCTGATGGATGAGTAACTTCTCCATCTACTTGTGTACGTTCTGCATGCCACCTCATCGATGCAGCTGTCCTTTCAGATTGATAGAACCATTTCAACCTATCAGTTATAGGAAGATACCACATCCGTTGGTACGGTATCCTTTTACGCCCAGAAGTTTGCGGCCTTTATCTTGGTTTATGGAAAAATCGACATTCCTGCAGCTTATCATCATATTTCTAGAAAACCATACAATTATCAACATATACATCTATTATCTCAGAACTTAGCAAAATCTTGGTATACCGTATTGAAGTGTTTCCACACTTTTGCATCTGATGGATGAGCAACTTCTCCATCTACTTGTGTATATTCTGTATGTCATCTCATCGATGCAGCTGCCCTTTCAGATTGATAGAACCATTTCAAGCTATCAGTTATAGGAAGATACCACATCCGTTGGTACGATATCCTTTTACGCCCAGAAGTTTGCCGCATGTATCTTGGTTTATGGCAATATCGACATTCTTGGAGCTTATCATCATCTTTCCAGAAAATCATACAATTATCAACACA